AGGCAGCCAAAACATCGTGAGAACGAAAGACGATAAAGTGGGCAACAAAACTGGCTATAAAAAGAAAGGCAAATGAAAAAAGAAGAGAGCAAGAAAAAAATTGAAATAGGTTGGAAAAATTGACTTATGCACATACGCGAAAAACAAAAAAGCTGCTTTAAAATTACGTCCAATAAGTAGAAAATTATGTCCTTAGCGTTGGAAATCTCTTTTTTAGCCATTCCCATGCTAACTGGGTAAAGAACGGTTCATAAAGGAGGATTTAGTCCAAAATGCGGTTTTTTCCTTAACCATTACGTCCCATGCAAACTTTGGATAAAGCACGTAGGCCGTATTAGTCCATCTATTTTTAGCCTCTTTAGTGGGGGGGGGGAATAGTAGCAGATATTGTCCCCTTCTCCTCTCCTGATCTTTTTTGTGATGGCGCTCTAGCCTGAGTATTTGTTCATTTATCTTTGCCTGAATGCAGCGAAGCGTAATGAAACAAAAGATAAATGGTTTCTTGAATTCCCAAGCACAGGTGCATTTGTCGGCAGTGTGTTTTAAGTGCCGGCATGAGATTATGAGAAGAAAGTGTGATATGCAAAGTAGCAAGTATATATTCGCTGAACAGTAAACAAGTTTCATTGTGGATTTTTACAAGCGGACAGTTAAATTTTTGTTCTTTTTTATATTTTGATTGAAATCCTGTAATCCATTTCCTTGTAACGATTTTAGTTGTGTTTTCCTGATGATTGACAGTTATTGTAAGTGGTTTTGTTTACTCAATTTTACTTTGGCCGCATCAAACGTATAGTTTGTTTGATTTTGTAATTAGTTGGTTAGTTCAATAAATGGGCTAAGAATTGTCTGCTTATCCCGCACCGCATTCCTGGTTGTCAGTTTTTTGGGTGCGGGGAATTCAAGAACAGGCTTTTCTGGGGAAAGAAAAAGAGGGAAGTTAAACGGGGAGAGGAGAGAACGAAAGGAAAGAAACAACTCTCTGTCTTACTCCTCCCTCCTTTAGATCGTGCACTTGAAGTGCTCCACGAGATATGGATGACGACAATTATTTTTACTAGCCATAAAACTGCACCATAAACAGGGACTGCTATTGTATCCGTTATTTCCCAACTTTGGAAGTAAATTTACGTGCCACCCAGTAATTTTACCTCCTACTAGTAAATCTCTACCAGATATGATAAGGGCTATCATAATACTGAACAAGCGGGCACTCCGCTTCGTTTATCAGGACAAAATCTCTACTTATGAGACACTAGTTATTAAAAATGGATATAGCACATTAGCAAATCAAAGACTTGCAATTGGGAATGGAAACATACCTACAAGTATTTCCGCGTTATGGTCAGTTATTGACGGCACGAGTCCAATTATAATTTACGTGGTGATGCTATTTTAAAGTTACCTAAAGTAAATTTAACAAAGTATGGGATCAAGTTATGGAGATACCAGGCTGCCCGACAATGGAACACTATTCCAAATAATTTAAGAAATATTGATAGTTACCGAAGTTTTAAACGTGGACTCAAGGAGCTCGACCTTGCAAGTTTATAGTCCCTTTCGCAATTTAACTTGGTTTTTCTTAGTATTTAAGTATTATATAGTTTCTATAATCTTAGCAACTCGCGTAAATTACCTTGCAATCTTCTGGATAATACAAGAAAATTCCTGCTCTTCTGTATGGGTCGATCAGCAACCCTCGCTGACTAAAAAGTATCTCTGTTTGATCTTTTCTGTAAACCTTAGGCTAAAAAATTAACTGTAACTCCTTCTCTAAAATTCCTAAAATTTGGTTAAAGTTCAGGTGTAAAATTTGGAGGGCGGTTTGGCTGGATCGGTTGTGTTCCAGGGCTGGTGTGGGGATACCTTGAGGTCAGGCTGATGGGAGGTAGTAACACATGTTTTGAAATGTGAAATATAATAATTTAATGAGAGTTTTGTAGTTGGTGTCATTTCATTTCTGGCCCAATAGGTCGTGAATTGAGTCCAGTGGAGCAGTATGGTCTTGTAATTTCGATCAGCCTTCCTCTCTTTATTTTGGCCTCTGCGGGATCAACAGTGTTTTGGATTATAGGTGAGTAAGAATGTTGTAAGTTTTCATATTTCTCTCTTTAGTAAAATTTTATGTCTAAACTAAAGGCGGTTATAGTATGTGGTAATAGGCTCCAAGTTCCCCCAGGCCGCTGTATTAAAACAAGGTTAAGTGCTTAGCATTTGATATGGAAATGATTTTTCAACCTCATGCAGATAAAACTCTTTGCAAGAAAGATTGTACACTTGGCTTCATTTTGAAAGTGAGGGTTTTTGGAACTTGGAAGTGGCGAATTCTTAACTTCTTTAAAGTTTGAGCCATCACTTAACCTACCCCAAGGGCATGGCTCAAGGACTGCAGAAGAGTTTTTATTCGTTCTTGCCATTCTCAGACGCAAAAGTTAGAATCGCCCTGTACAATGTAGTAAACAGTACCACAGGAAAATACTACTCAGTAGCTTTTATTTGAATGGCCACACATTGAATTTAGTTTACGGTTATAACTGTGTTTTATAAATTATATGCCCTCTAATGGTAAAGGTTGACAGGTCATTTATTTTTTTTTATCAGGTGCGTCATTCTTTATTATTGGCCTCCACGCGTCACTCTTAAGCACCTCCGACACTCCTGAAATAACAGAAGAACTGACCATGGAAGAAGTTTAGATTTGTCTTAGTTTCAAGTTGCTTAACATGTAACACTCATAACACCACTGGTTTTAAATCATAATGGACAGACACTTGGATACGAATGTTTTGGTTCAAATTTTATATCCCCTCAAATATGGGTCTTGTGAACATATGTAAGATTATAGTGATAGACAAAGATACAAAGGAAAATAATACAAAACAAAACAACTGCGACAAAAAGTCAGCCACATAGTTGTAGATTTTTCAAATAGGGATGGTGAAACTTCTGTAATATATACAGAAAGTATTTAAGTAATAAGTTTCTTCACTGCTGTGCTGCTTTAAAGACAGTTTCAGTTATTTTGTTTGACTGTTAACTCTGTAAAACCTTGATCTAAATCTTTAATATTGTACCTCCCTAATAGTGCAAAACACTGCACATAAAAACCGCTCATTAAGGGGACACCCAAGAAACCACAGGAGGCTCAAAGATTAGTGTGCTGCTTGCCAGGGGGCTTTCAGCAATATAATACAGTGGTGGATCCAGGGGAGGGGCTCCGGGGGGGGGGGG